CGGCATCATTTCCTCCGTGATCTCATCGACGCCGGTACTATCTCCGTCATTCACTGCGCCTCCGAAGACAACGCCGCCGACATGTTTACCAAGGCGCTCGCTCGCCCTACTCACACCCGGCAGCTCTCCCTCGCGAACATGACTGCTCGTTGAGGGGGAGTGTTGTAGTATCTGAGGCGCCGGATGCGCATCAGCCGCGCCGGTAGGGATACCGACATGACGCGCTTAGGTCGTCATGCCCAATATGGATCTGTCATGCCCGTTTTAGATATGACCCGCGCAGAGCACTCTCGGCTCTGCGCCCTCGTTATGCTTCCTCTATAGTCTCAGCTTCCTAAGGTACATTTTATTGGTCTGACCAGATTAGGAAGTAGATAACCTATATAAGAACATGTAGTATTATTTTTGGAATTTATCCTTGATTACTCGTGAATCCCCCGCCTGCGCGAAGTCTTTCACAACATCTCTCGAGGGACGGTAGGCCACATACGTCTGAGTTCTCGCCGATGTCACTCACAGGAGCTGTAGATGGAATGTTGCTGGTCGGTTCTGGTCAGTGAGACTGTGGGTTGCATAAAGGGGTTCTCTGATGGCATTATACAGGGACATCGTCCACGATCTGAAGGTCGCCGTCAATTCAGCACAGAATGGCAGTGGTCGCAGAGCGCATGAATACAGGCGAGATGATAACATTGTACTGGAGCTGGATGCCTACCCGAACTCCCTTGCACACTTGCCGCAGCCTTCAGGCCAAGCATCGTCCACGTACGTCGACGGCATGCAGCAGCGGGTACCAGCAGCGGCGCTCCGCTCTTCCTTGGGCTTCCCGCTGGCGAACCTGGATCATGCGCCGCCTACACACAGCAACGGCGAGGCTCTCGGCATGTCCACTTTCTGGAAAAACACGCCTGCACAAGCCGAGGCCGGAACACAAACACAGTTCGTCCCTCCTCCATCCCTTGATGGCGCATACGCGTCGGACCCGGACCCCGAAGCGATCTTTGCAGACCTGCTGCCCACGCTCTCTCACCAAGACCCATTCGCGGCCATGGCGCATGTCATGCCCTCACATTTACCGTCGGTCTAGTTCTTTAAGAGTGCTGTGCCTGCGGGTACGGGAGGCTTCGGGGTGCAGCCATAGGTTCAGCCTAGGTAACGTGCGGAAAACTAGTTTGTATTTTATGGGAGCGGAAGCACCTTCTTTGTGCGATAACTTAGGTAATACGACACCTAATATGGCATTTCCCAGCGAACTTGCGACGATCTAAAAATGGTAAAATGTGGGAGAAGACTTACAGTGACGAGAGTGGGATTCGAACCCGCGCCCTGAGGCGACACGGTCGGTCTCTTGAACCCCCGCTCGTGGTGGCGTTGTGATGCAATCATCTCCCTTCGGCACCGACAAGTACTCTCCTCCTGATCAAAGCATGGACTGTCAAGCCCTTCACCTTCTCCACTACACACATCTTGTCGTCTTCGTACAGAGCGGGCCTATCCGCTGAAGCACTTTTTCCTGATAATCTTACCAGCTGGTCGACAACCAGTGAAGACTTCGCCACTACGTACACCTTCAATCATGAGCGACAGGGACGAGGATGAGCTTTCCACGAAGAAGAGACGCTCCAGAGCCTGTGACCAGTGTAGGAAGAGAAAAGGTATGCTTTTCTTATGTTACAGAAAAGGCGTGCTAATGCCCCGCGACTCTCGACAATTGACGCGGACAGTGCGGTGTGAGTGATCATCAGGCATCGAAGATTACGCTCTATTAATGTAGGAATGGCTAGGTGATGGATCTGAGGAAGAAGGAAAATCGTGCTCGACCTGTGCGGCGTTCAAGAGCAAGTGCACGTACACTGCAACTACGGAGATGCGTAAAGTACGTGCCAGCGTAGCTTACAAGGCTACCACTCACTATCCGGTTTAGAAGCGTTATGTGGAGGACGAGTGAGTGCCGGAGACGATTACAGACTAGAATGAGACTACTAAGGATGTTCTAGATACGTTAGAGCTTTGGAGTCGGAGGTGATGAAGCTGCGGCTTACGGTTCGGCAGGTGCGTTTATCAATAGCTATGCGTGATATCCACAGCCTAGTGATATCCAGCTACACAGCTGCAATCAAGGCTCACTGAACTGGAAAGGCCTCACGTTGCAATTGCTTCCACCACGAGCAGTCCGACATTCAGTGATCCGCCACCTACTATAGACATTTCTGTCAAGCAGGAGGAAACTGGGGAAGACGAGGGTCTCGTAGAAGGCTTAAAGTACATGATTCTCGATGAAAGACGTGTGCACTTCATGGGCAGGTCTAGCAGCTTTCCCCTCATGAAGGCCGCGATGAAAATGAAGCAAGAGCTTGTCAAAGACAACACCAGCCCATTGCTCAACGGAGGGTATCACCCTCTGATGCCATCCAAACGGCGCCCAGAATTCTGGATAAGTACGATGGTGCGTCTTTGCTTACTCCGAGTGACACTCTTTCTGACACAATTTTTGTCACATGTGGTAGGACTTTATCCCGCCAGAACTCCCATATACCGATTTTCCAGAACCCTCCCTCATGAACGACCTTCTCGACAATTACTTCCAGAAAATCCACCGGAACTTCCCTCTGCTGCACCGGCCGACGTTCCTACAGAATATCGCCTCGGGACTACATCTTATCGACGAGGGTTTCGGGGCGACGGTGCTGCTCGTGTGTGCCTTGGGTGCACGCTTCTCGTACAACCCCGCTGCGCTCATGCCCGGACTAACAAGTTGGCACTGGGCCGGTTGGCGATGGTTCCAGCAGGTCCGCGCCATGCGCAAGCTCATCCCACTGACGATGACGACGCTTTATGACCTGCAGGTTGCCGCGGTAAGGGTGGTGTGAGCGATCTTTCGCGTGTCTGTTTGCTGACGGATACCATAGCTCGCCGGTGCATACGTCGCCGTCTTGTCGATGCCACAGTCAAACTACGCGATAATGGGTTATGCCGTCCGGCTCGCGCAGGACCTGGGTGCGCATAGACGGGTGGCGTACGAGCCGGAGCCTACGGTCGAGGGCGAGCTGAGGAAGCGCGCATTCTGGTATGTTACTTTTCCGTGGCTTGTCCTTGCTAGGGTCCTTATGTTTTCTCAGGTGCTTATTGGTAATGGACAGGGGTGCGTGCTCCAATTTGGGGAGACCGTGCGATGTTAAAGATGAGGAGTAGGTGCGATGTTTCCCTCCACTGGCCTTCCTCTCACAGTCCCCGCCAGCTTCGATATCGGCTACCCTATCGAGTGCGACGACGAGTACTGGGTGACGGATGATCCACAACGGGCGTTCAAACAGCCAGTAGGACAGCCTTCTACTGTTGCATACTTCAACTGTGCTCTTAAGCTAGAGCGGATACATGTGCACACGCTACGCACCATTGTGCGTATTTATGATGTCTGAACCCTGCTCCCAGCTTACGCGATCGCAGTACTCGCCGCAAGGGGCCAAGAGTCTTTCAGATCCTGAGCGTGCCCAGCAGATCGTCGCGGAACTGGACTCGGAGCTGAACCAATGGGTGGACTCGATCCCCGAGCACTGTATGTACGCTTCAAAAAACCCCACCCTGGCTTATAGCCAATCAATTATCCGCAGTGAGATATGATCCTAACAGAGAGGACGTCCCCTTTGCTGGCCAATCTGCCTCGCTTCATGCGTCGTACCACAGCCTGCGGATCTTCATCCACCGGCCGTTCATCATGACACCGCGGAGGCACGTGCCGCTGCCATTCCCGTCGCTGGCGATCTGCACGAACGCGGCGCGGTCGTGTATCCAAGTCCTCGACAGGTACTTCACCCTGTCGGGCCAAGCACTGGTCTTCCGATACCACCTGGTGCGGCGCCCTTTCTCTCTCGTTCGTCCGACATGGCTGATGTATGCGCGTTATAGACGTCACTGTTCTCGTCTGTTATTATTCTACTGCTGCATGTGTGGAGTGAGACGCAGTCAGGGTCTACTACCGACGTCACGAAGGAGCTTGAGTATGTCCACAAGGCACTGCGTATATTCAAGGACCTCGAGGAACGGTGAGCTTCGTCCATTTATGTCGTCTGATGTCGCTAATGAGTGCCGCAGGTGGAATGTCGCTGGTCAGTTCTGGTAAGTGGGTACCCGGTAACACATGAGGCCGTCTCTCTAACGGCGTTTTACAGGGACATCATCCATGACCTTATGACTGCCGTCGAGGCGACACAGAATGGCAGTGCTTGCGGAGTGCACGAGCACAGACAAGACGATGACATCGTGCCCGCACACGATGTTTACCTAACCTCCCAGATGCCTGTACAACAGCCCTCGGCCGACGTACCACCCACATATGACAACGATGTGCAACAGCAGCTACGAACGGTGGCGGATCTTCCAGACTATCCTCAGGCCAACCTCGACTATGCGCCGCCACCGCGCGTCGATGGTTCCAGCAGGCCCAGCAGGCTTCCGAATAGCCAGAGCCCCGGCTCGAACAGCTTCTGGCATGACCTGCAGGCGCAACAAGAAATGGATGCCCAAGGACAGTTCGGGCCGCTACCGCCTCTCAATAGCGCATGTACACCCGACCCCGACCTGGATGCGATCTTCGCGGACCTGCTGCCCTCGTTGTCGCACGAGGGCCCGTTCGCGGCGATGGCGCGCGGCATGCCGCATAATTTCGCGCCAGGTCAGCTTTTTGGGCGTGCGGGCGGAGGAGTACCCGAAGGGCAGCCGTACGAGCACTCTGGAGGTTTTATGGACACGCGGTTTGTAAGTCCAGGAATGCCGTCTGTGTGGGGGGCAGGTACTCAAGGTAGCTCGTTGTGAGATTGTGTTGGCAGTTATTAGAGTCGCGGGTGGGATTCATTACTGGCTGTGTCTCGTACCAATATGACCATGCCGCCTGTGCTTTTATAATAGCCTTAATCAACCTTAGTCTGACCACTGAGCAGTGACCGGTTGACCACTGGTGGTCCAGGCTCCATAGAAGCACAGTTCGGCCTCCGTCCTTCGATGGCTTATATGCATCGATCTCGAATCTCAAAACGACCTTCGCAGAATGACGAGAGTGAGATTCGAACCCACGCCCCGTCGCAACGTGCGTTCCGGCTCTCGACATGATGCAAACACCTCTTTCCGCGCCAGTCCTCGGCACCGACACTTGATCGCAGGATGGACTGCAAAGGCCTCCACCTTCTCCACAACCTACACCTTACCGGAGCGGGCCTATTCGTTGAGGAACCCTTTCCTGACAATCTTATCAGCTGGCCGAGTGAAGACTTCGCCATTGCATACACCTCAGATCATGAGCGACAGGGACGAGGATGAGCTTGCCACGAAGAAGAGACGTTCCAGAGCCTGTGACCAGTGTAGGAGGAGAAAAGGTGCATTCGTTGTACTTTACGGAAAACGCGTGCTTACGCGCCGCGACTCTCAACAATTGATGTGGACAGTGCGGTGTGAGTGATCATTAGGCACCGAAGGATGTGCTCCACTAACCTAGAAATGGCTAGGCGGCGGATCCGAGGAAGAAGGAAAATCATGCTCGACCTGTGCGGTGTTCAAGAGCAAGTGCACGTATACTGCGACCTCGGAGGTTCGTAAGGTACATGCTGGCGTAGTTCACAAGGCCACCTCTCACTATCCGATTCAGAAACGTTATGTGAACGGCGAGTGCGTCACAAAGCAGAACATAGACCAGAGGGGAGGTTCTAAGGATGTTCCAGATATGTCAGAGCTTTGGAATCGGAGGTGATGAAGCTGCGGCTTACGGTTCAGCAGGTGCGTCTTTCAATGGTTATACATGATGTCCACAGCGCGGTCATACCCAACCACACAGCTGCAATCAAGGCTCGCCGAACTGGAAAGGCCTCATGTTACAAGTGCCTCCATTTCGAACAGTTCGACCTACTCTCCTTCCGGCGACCCGCCATCTGCTACAAACGTTTCTGTCAAGCAGGAGGAAACTGGGGAAGACGAAGGTCTCGTAGAAGGCTTCAAGTATATTGTTATCGATGAAAAACGCGTGCGCTTCATGGGCAGGTCCAGCAACTTCCCCCTCATGAAGGCCGCAATGAAAATGAAGCAAGAACTCGCCAAAGACAGCGGCAGTCCATTGCTCAGCGGAGGGTATAACCCTCTAATGCCGTCGAAACGGCGCCCAGAATTCTGGCTAAGTATCATGGTATGTCTTTTTGCTCAGAGCGACACCGTTACTGACACACATTTTCTGTCACGCACGGTAGGATTTCATCCCGCCAGAACTCCCGTATACCGATTTTCCAGAACCCTCGCTCATGAACGCCCTTCTCGATAACTACTTCCAGGACATTCACCGGAACTTTCCTCTACTGCACCGACCGACTTTCCTACAGAATATTGCCTCGGGGCTACACCTCATCGATGAGGGTTTCGGTGCGACAATGCTGCTCGTGTGTGCCCTGAGCGCGCGCTTCTCGTACAACCCCGCCGCGCTCACGCCCGGCTTGGCAAGCTGGCAATGGGCCGGCTGGCAATGGTTCCAGCAGGTCCGCGCCATGCGCAAGCTCATTCCGCTCACGGCGACGACGCTTTATGACCTGCAGGTTGCCGCGGTAAGACGGTGTGAGCGATCTTCGCACATGTGTTTGCTGACGGCTGCCATATAGCTCGGTGGTGCATACGTCGCCGCCTTGTCGATGCCACAGTCGAACTACGCGGTCATAGGATGCGGCCTCCGGCTTGCGCAGGATCTGGGTGCGCATAGACAGATGGCGTACGGGCCGGAGCCGACGGTCGAGGGCGAGCTACGGAAGCGCGCATTCTGGTATGATGCTTTTTTATGAGCTGTTCGTCTTTGCAGAGCCCTAATGTTTGCGCAGGTGCTTATTGGCAATGGACAGAGGCATGTGCTCCATTTTGGGAAGGCCGTGCGATGTCCAAGATGAGGAGTAGGTTGTCCATATCTCCCTCCACTGGTCTTCCGGTCTTCCACTTACCGTCCTCTCTAGCTTCGATGTCGACTACCCTATCGAGTGCGACGACGAATATTGGGTGACGGAAGATCCACAAAAAGCATTCAAACAGCCAGTGGGGCGGCCTTCTACCGTTGCACACTTCAACTGCGCCATGAGGCTGGAGCGGATACATGCGCATGTGCTACGCACTATTGTGCGTATCTATGATGTCTGAACCCTGCTCCCAGCTTACACGATCGCAGTACTCGCCGCAAGGGGCCAAGAGTCTTTCAGATCCTGAGCGTGCCCAGCAGATCGTCGCGGAACTGGACTCGGAGCTGAACCAGTGGGTGGACTCGATCCCCGAGCACTGTACGTACGCTCCAAAATCCTTACCCTGGCTTATAACCAATCGATTGTCCGCAGTAATATACGATCCCAGCAGAGAGGACGTCCCCTTTGCTGGCCAATCCGCCTCGCTTCATGCGTCGTACCACAGCCTGCGGATCTTTATCCATCGGCCGTTCATCATGACACCGCAGAGGCGCGTGCCGCTGCCATTCCCATCGCTGGAGATCTGCACGAACGCGGCGCGGTTGTGTATCCAAGCCCTCGACAGGTACTTCGCCTTGTCGGGCCAAGCACTGGTCTTCCGATACCACCTGGTGCGACGCCCTTTCTCTCTCGTTTGTCTGGCATGGCTGATGTATGCACGTTATAGGCGTCACTGTTCTCGTCTGTTATTATTCTACTGCTGCATGTGTGGAGCGAGACGCAGTCAGGGTCTGCTACCAACGTCACGAAGGAGCTTGAGCATGTCCACAAGGCACTGCGTATATTCAAGGACCTCGAGGAACGGTGAGCTTCATCCATTTATGTCGTTGCTGAAGCCGCTAATGGGTGACGCAGATGGAGTGTTGCTGGTCGGTTCTGGTAAGTGGGTACCCGGTGACACATGAGGCCGTCTCTCTAACGGCGTCTTGCAGGGACATCATCCACGACCTTATGACTGCCGTCGAGTCGATACAGAATGGCAGTGCTTGCGGGATGCACGAGCACAGACAAGACGACGGCATCGTGCCTGCGCACGATATTTGCTCAGCCTCCCTGACACAGCGTTCGGCCAACGTACCGCCCACGTATGACAACGGTGTGCAGCAGCAGCCACTCATAGCGGCGAATCCTCCAAACTATTCCCAGGCCAACTTCAACTACGCGCCACCTCCGCGTGTATATGGCTCCAGCGGCTCCAGCATGCTGCCCAGCAGTGATGCCTTCGACTCCGACAGCTTCTGGCATGACCCGCCGACGCAACAACAGATGGATGCCCAGGGACAGTTCGGGTCGCTACCACCTCTCAACGGCGCATACACACCCAACCCCGACTTGGATGCGATCTTTGCGGACCTGCTGCCTACGTTATCGCGTGAGGATCCGTTTGCGACGATGGCGCGCGGGATGCCGCAGTACTTCGGGTCAGGTCAGCTCTTCGAGGGCGTCGGGCCTGGGGGTGGAGGAGGCTCTGGAGGGCAGCCACACGTGCACTCTGGAGGCTTTGTGGACACGGGGTTTGTAACTCCTGGAATGCCATATGCGTGGGGAGCAGGTACTCAGGGCGGCTAGTTGTGAGATGGTGCTGGTGTGGCTCGTTGCTGGTTGTATCTCGTACCATACCACCTGTGCTATTTAACTGGCCTTAGTCTGAGCATTAAATACTGTACTGAGTACTCGTGGTCTAGACTCCATGGAATGAATTATCATCATGGACAGCTGCCAACTAGCTTCCGGACTGGCTGCGAACACTTCAAGTTGGGAGTTGCTGCTTGCCAAGGAGAGAAAAGAAACTCGACGAGAGCGGGATTCGAACCCACACTCTTTGGCGCAGCTTAGATCGCTTGTCCGCGGCCGTGTTTCTTCGGATACTTCAGCTACTGCCAGAAGGACGACAGTGACGGACTCGACTGGCATATGTTGGCTTCGCAGTGCTGTGTAGCCAAGTCATTTTCCCCTGATGCTTCCCGCGGAATTCTCGAGCTCTGGGTTTTGAAAATTCGCTGGCGGGTGTCTGCCATTCTTGGAATAACTGCAAAGACTCGAAATAAGTAGTCTACAGAGAAATTTAACCCTGCGTCGTATCATCCGTTTGTAATGAGGGGTCTGGAACCCCAGCTGCATTCAGAGCCACAGCCTTCAGCGCCGTAAATTTCGGGGTGCCCAGGCCAGTAACAGGGTCCCAGCCCTTAAGAGCCGGGAAGCCGCTCGTGTTGCACCCAGGGTTGCTGCCGGTCGTGATGTCATTGAACGCACTAGGATTCGCGTACAGAAGTGGGTTGAGGAAGCCGAGCGTGCTCTTGTTGGCGGCGATGAGCGCGTCGTTGATGAGCGCAATCATTCCCGCAAAGATGGGGCTCGAACAGCTCGTGCCGCCAACTGTTCCAAGTGTGCCGTTAACGACGATGGTAACGTTCACCCCGATAGCCGCGACATCCGGGTACCCGCGTCCCGAAGCGTTGAACAGGCCGCTGTTCGTCGAGCCAATGGAGGAGAGGTAGGACGAGACGTCAGAGGCCTGGTATGACGGCGTGGCAAAATGGTTGGAGAAGCCGCCAGCGGAAGAGGCGCCGATGTCGTCTAACGTTCCAGCGGTCTCGCCGCCGGACGACGAGATGAGCTGGGTGGCGCCAACGGAGGTGATGCTGCCGGTTTGTTACTAACCAGGTCGCCAAGAGAAGGATGCGCGGGAAATACTTACAAGGGGCATCCAGCCGGGAAAGTAGGGATGAACTTAGAGCAGCTTTGAGGCTGCCCGCCGGAGACACCGCCGTCACCAGAGGCAAAGAGGATGGAGACACCACGGGCGCCGAGTTGAGCGTAAGCATTACAAAGTTTGCTATTCGATATCAGTAAGCTGTCAAACCCGGGCCGCAGCACACAACTCACGCAGTGAGTAAGCGAGAGACCATGTTCTCGTTGCCGCCGTAGCTGGTTGTCAGGACTTGCGGCGGGTTGGACTCGCCGAGGAGGAAGAGTATGATGTCCAGGAAACCGCTAAGTTCGGGACCGTCGTGATTGTTTTCGCCAACAGAGATGAATGTGGTTGGCACGCCTTGGCTGACGCTGATAGCGTACTGGGTGTCAAGATTCTATCGAGTACGACTGATGAGTGTATGTTTAGAAGTGCGCCAGACAAGTACGCACCGCCTCAACGCCGGTCTCGCTCCTGTTCTGTGGGTTGCTACCGCCATCAATAGTCTGAAGGGCGAAGGTCTCCCCATTGAGGTCAGGTTGGAATTGTTCAGGAAAGTCTGCAAGTACAATTCTCAACAACGCTTGCGCTCAAACATTAGGGGCTGCGCGCACCGCGAGATCAGCCTCGTTGGCAAATTGCTCGTCGAAGCCACTGACAGCGAGGTGGTTGGAGCTCTGAGTCGCCTTGGCGGTGGGGATGTCGTACAGAGACTCGATACAGGCGGGTGTGATCTCCTCAGTTGAGCAAGACGTCAAGTCCTCAATGGCGCGGCGCTCGAGGCCAGACGGTGTCGAGATGACGGGATGAAGGGGTGTTGGGTCTAAGAATCTGTGACACTAGTCGAAATTACACTCGAACCAAACCGCACTATTACTCATGAGGTCGTAGGGTGTACGGCGTCGATGTGCTCCTCGAGATCGGCGGCAATCGAGTACTTCAAGGTACGCGTTATATTTTTGCCGGTCCTGGAGTGGGTGAAGAGGGTAAAGTCGGCGTCGAACAGCTCATTCGCCTGACCGACAGGGACAGTGATGCTGAGCCAGTCGCCGGCAGGCGAGATGGGGGTCGCATTCACGCCAGCCTGAGCGAGCCAGTTCTTGATGGCATCGGAGGTCTGTGCAGTCGGCGTGACAAACTGTTCGACCTGGGTAGCAAGACTCAGAGCTACGGAACATGCTGGAGAGAAATGTACGCACCTCTTCCTTACTGAGATGCTGCCCATAGGACGGGTTATCCGGTGAGCTGACAGCGTACAGCGCCTCGATTAGCCCATTTGGGTTGTTCTACGCGAGCGCAATGCTTAGGCTGAGCTCAATATCCGCAGGAGCAGGTCTATTGCTGACGAAACCCTCAGGCGCTGCGAGTATGGCCTCACGGACCTTCATGCTGTAGGCCATGGACTTCGCGAAGGCGAGCGAACACGACGCAAAGGCAAGGAGCTTGGACACCATCTTGCCTGGAGTGTGTGAGGGAGAATGATGCTAGCCTGCCTGTGCAGAAGGCGTAATATAGTCCGACAAGTCTGGTCGTGCATTTCAGAGCACAGGGAACAGCCCGCGACATGTCTGCATCTTTGACGGTTGGTGCTTTGGGCGATGGCGACTTGGCTAGAAACTTTGATTAGAAACATAGTGAAACCGGAGTTCTAGTGACCCGTACCCAAGCCTTAGAGGTTGGGGAGAGGGCTACTAGAGGGCTGGCATATTTCCTCCAAGGGGACAACAAGCCGATGGATACCGCAGCATAAGTGTAAGTTCGATATTAATCCAGCTGAAGCGGGCAGACAGAACGCGCGAAGCGCGACGGATTCGGGTACTATTGGTGCAAAAAGTGGCCCAAAAAAAGCGCGGCGTGACGTCATTCGCGAGACACTTCGCCTGTGCTTGTTCCGACACCTCCTCTCATGCGTGAAGGTCAAAACATGCACGCTGTTACCACTCGGTGAGACGAAGCGCAGCTCTTTAAGGGCTTCGGGCTCCTGTTCTCGGACTGTACAGCACGAAACGGACAAAGCGTGCGCTCTTCTGATCTTCGGTGAATCCACTCCCATCGTGTTGTATACTATAGATGTCAGGCTGGACTTTTCTTGTTAGTCACTCCTACACCCTTTGTCACTGATATACTTCTCTTGATTGCAGCATGGACTGCTAGGCACATTTCTCTTGAGGCGTCTTTTCCTGGAGTAATCGCAATCCTGCTGGTGGACAGCAAGTCGAGTACTTCGCCATCTGCTCTTGCGTACACCTCGTATCGTGAGCGATAGAGACTGGTATGAGTATTTCGCGAAGAAAAAATGTTCCAGAGCCTGTGACCAGTGTGGAAGGAGGAAAGGTATGTTGGTGGGAAGGGTGTGCTACTTAAGCGCTGCGTCGGACCTTCAACACTTGGTGTGGACGGTGACTCATCAGTGTCCACCACGCACCCGTGCGGCGCCGAAGAGCAAACATACGCACGCCGCGACCACAGAGGTACGTGCCAGTGTTATTTGCAGGGCTATGTTTCACTGTGTCAGTGCCGCATCTGACTAGGCATTCTGCGCGAATACATCAGGAAGCAGCATCTGACTACGTAGCGAGGGCGCTTGCTACCCTGAGCCACCGCATCTGCCCTTTTTGGGTAGCGCACGCGTAGAGGCTCAGGAGTGCCTGGTAGTACCCAGCGGCAGCGCACACATTTTAGGGGTCACTACGGTATGCCAGAAATTATATATTGGTTATTCAAGCTACAATGTGCAAATTTGTATGCGGGACACACACCTATGTCATTACTGGACTAAAATTAGATTAATGCACCGAAGAGCAGCACTCCAAGGCAAACTCGTGTGGATGTTCAAGCTCAAGCTCAAGAGGCGTCTGCCGAAGTACAAAGACGTCTGCCCTAAAGTGTTGGATGATGGCGCGACGGACGAAGGTAAGCGCTCGAACATCTCGTCGTCCCAGCTTCCACATCAGCCCATGGTAATGCAGCTCGACCATCCCTTTGGTATGCTGCTGAGACTATAGCCGTCACTGACTCTCCGCCTTCCCTGGGACTCTGGAAGAACAGACAAGAGCTGGCTGTGGTAGTCGAAGCTCGCGATATTCCCGGACCCCAAGCATACTGCTACCGACATGCCGCGTTACCATCGGCGGAGCAAGCAAGAAAAATGACAGTGCGCCCTAGGGCCGTGCCCTGTCTCGCTGAGTAAGGAGCTTGTGGACTGCGCGGTAAGCATCACAAACTGCAAGCGGCTGCGGAGGGCCGGGTTGTCCTTTGCCATT